CATTCTTGCTGTTAAAAAAAATCACTAAAAGTTATGTCAATCTTTAAGGTAAAATGCTGGGGAATTTAAAGTTACATGTTTGGAAAACTGAACCACATTTTTAATAGCCAGCTAATATTATGCTTTGTTTTTGGCAGAATCATCTTTGTTTCTTCTTTTGACATCCCAGTTATAAACTCTGGCCATATTGACTTCTATTGTAGTAAATTGATCTCCAAGAAAGTCAAGGTCTTCCTCAAGAGAATCAAGGTTCTTTGTGGCAGTCGATAAATTCTTTTCCAACAAAGCCTGAGCTTCACCAATATCATACTCAAGCATTACATTAGCCACCAACCACAAACACACTTTATCAGTAGGAGGAACCGAAGCTTTGCAGTACAGGTTATCTGCCAGTAAGAATCTGGTTTCCAGTGAAGTGGTAGACTCTTTTTTCTTCTGCATGTATTTTAGAATTTCCAAAGTCTGCTTAATTTCAGGAATCTGACCTTTTAGTCTCCGTTTCTTTTGAGCAAGACTGAGTTCCATAAACTTATACTTCTGGTACTGTTCATCCAGCTTCTTTAGTACTGTATCTGCAGTCTCATTTCCAGGCTGTTTCATGAAAGAATCTACATCTTCCACAAACACTGCCTCAGGAATCCCTGGGTGGAGCCACTGCCCATTCCCCACAGCCACTTCACCCAAGCCACTACTGTCCTTGTCTGCTGCCATCTTCTCGAGTTCTATTCTTAACAACATGCTGTTCTGCACCTCTCTGCTCCACTCAGCCAAGCAGTTTGCAGGCCCAGCACCATGAATCTCTTGCAGGTTTGCAGGAAAGGGCTGAGACTGAGCTAGTGTGTACACCCAGGCACATGTAGGTAAGCAGGCAGCCATATGGTTACAGTTTATATCTAGATGGCCCCCTAAATCCTCATGTGCTCATAGATGGGGCTTTTGGGAAGTGGCTGGATCATGGGGGTGCATTATTCATCACTGGATTAATTCACTGATGAGTTTATAGCTAAATGTGATTTTGGGAGGTAAATCCTGGTCTGAGGCCTGTCACTGGGGGCATGGCCTAGGATGGTGTATCTTCCTCCCACCTCCCTGGATTGCTGTGCTTCCTGTCTGCCTTGTAGGTAATCCTCTTCTGCCACGCCCCTCTGCTATGCTGCCCTGCCTTGGAGCCAGCTATAGACTGAAACCTCTACAAACTGTGAGCCAAAATAAATAAACCTTTCCTCCTGTGATTTGTGGGTGTCAGGCATCGTGTCTCAGTGATGGGAAAGTAACTAAGACATGGTGAGAGAAAATTCACAAACTGCAACTCCTGCCACCACTCCTGCCACCCAGAGCAGAGGGCTCCAAGTGGGCTGAGCCCAAGGAAAGTTCACTGAGAAAGTGTTATGGGAGGGTATTTCAGAAAAGGATGTTTGGAAGCAGGTCCATTGTTTAGGTCATGCTTTGGCAAACATCATGTGAGGGTGTTACTCAAATTTAGAAGCACTCATAACTTATTCAAGTCTCCAGTGAAGAATTTCAGTATTTTAGAGCTTTTGATTCAAAAGTATAAAACTGTAACATATTTTGATTAGTTTACATGTCTGCCATAAGAGAAGATGGAAATTCACTAACCAGATTTCAACAAAAACCTTAGCATAATTGGTGGGTAAAAAGGAATAATGAAATTATGACTTAGGGGACCAGTGGTACTCTTCCTTCATGTGCTTACTGGACTTCAGAAGCCACCTTTTTCAGCCATAACAGTGCATTAAAACCAACCATCCAATTAGGCTGAACCTGGAAAATGGCATCTGAATTACTAGATCACAGTTTAACATTTAAAATAATGAAGTGTTCATTGTTCTCCTAAAAATATCAGATAGGGGTGTGGATGTAGCTCAGTGGTACAGTGCTTGCCTAGTATACACAAGGCCCGGGGTTTAATCCTCAACACTAAAAAACAAAACAAAACAAAAACCACTGGGCAGCAATTTTAACAACTTTATCCTTAAACAATCCATTTTTAAACAATTTATTTTACTTCATTGAAACTTTTTTATAATACAATTTAGTTATGCAAAAAACTTAATAAACACACACATAGTTGTACAAATACACTTTGGTATTAGAGTTTGCAACCAGAATGGCTGGGTGATTATTTGGTTTATAAATATAAAGGCTGCATGTCTATGAAGCCTGGAGCAAGTGAACATTCCTTTGTTTTCTTATCAATTTTAAATCTAAATAATGGCCATTGTGGCTGATTTCATAGCAGAACACTTGTATATCCTTAATCACTCTAATAATCTTCTAGAGATGACAGCAAAAACCTACCAAAGACAATTCTGTGATTTTTTTCTTCTAAAAACATTTCAATGAAAGTTTTTAAATGCACAAAGGTAACAAATGGGCATTAAGAACAAACATGGCATCTGATGAATAAACATTGCACCTAGTTGAGTCAGACCCTGTTGCAGCATTCCTCTCCTTGGAGTCCACACACACTTGAGGCACTTGCTGGAGATTTAATTCCTGGTAAAACCACTGGAGACCTCTCAGGAGCAAACCCAAGTTGGGATCCCTGTAGCACTGATCACCCTTGTGCTAATAAGTCATCAGATATGATTCCTAAGACTCACTGGAATTAAAGTTGTATGGTGTCCACTTGTGATAGTGAATCTTATTATCAACTTGATTGGATTGAGAAACACCTAGGGAATCAGTAAAGAACAGTTCTGGGTATGTCTGTAGGTACTTCCAGAGACAACGGGATTCTAAGGGCCCTACATTCATCAGTGGAAGAACCTGTAGATGAGATCATAATTTGAGGGACTACTGGGAGGTGAGGGAGGCTTAGAAGGTGGGGTGTAGTTGAAGGGAGTCGTGAGGGTGTGCCCTGGGGGATTATATCAGAGGTGAGCAGCTTTCCTCCTACCTGTCCTTCGGCCATGATGTTTGTGCCTCGGAGCCAGTCAACCATGAACAAAAACTGTGAGTCAAAATGAAGCTTTCCTTTTAAGTTGTGTGAGATATTTGGTCACAGTGAGGAGAATCTGACTGATACACCAATAGGCAGGAGACTAGGGGTCTATTCTCATCTTGTACTGACCACTGTGAGCCTCTCTACCTCACTTAGTTCTTTTTATACAAAATGAGGTGGGGATTTGGGAATTGATTCTCTAGTACACACAGAACTAGGTTCCCTCCAGCTTTCCCAGACCAAGATTATTTTGAGCCTGCCAAACCCTTAAAGCAGTTTTAAGAGAGCACGGCTGATAAATTATTGTACCACATAGAACACTTTTAGGTTTTAATTTACAGAATGTTTGGTAACACCAGGCAGAAGGGGGCAGATGAAGGGTAGAAGTCCCAGACGCCAGCACGGGTCTCTGCAGTTTTCTCCAACATTGCACGCTCAGAGGCAAAATCAATCTGTGAATCTGAGTCCACAGATTTCTAATGGTATATACTTAGATGAAGGACTCTGCAAAATGACTCATATGCATGCATGCTGTCATTTAAATTAGGTAGGTTCCAAGGTTAACTGTGGTGGCTCATATTATGTCAGCTCTATTAACCCAGAACTGTATTTCCCAGTTTCTTTCCTTGGTGGCTCTAGGTTAGGATTGGCTCCAAGACTTGCCAGTGTGGGCTTTGGAAGACAAGAGCAAAGTGAGAGCCATTTTCCTCCAAAGGTCATCATTGTTCATCGTGGTGACACAAGTGCCTGGCTAGTTCCAGCGTGTCCTTTCTCCTCTGCTTCCTGAAGGGAAGCTCTAGGTCCACCACTAGATCCTGGCTGTAGCTCTACCATGAGTGGTCCTCATGGTGACAACAGCTTCCCATACAGCTCCACATGTCCCCTGCTGGCTGTGCTTTGCACTTCAGACAAACTGGTGACCTCTGTTGATTCCCACAGCTCTTTCTGGACCCAAATCACTTCTCCAGCTCTCCACACTGTTGGGCTTGGCCTAATTTCTATAACAAAGTCCCTGAGCACTTGGAGCAACTAAATCATGATTTACCAAGCAAACCAAACCCATGAAGCCCTAAATGGACATTGCCCTTGTACAGTAGACCCTTGACTTACAAACTCAATTCATTCTTGAGGGCTGGTTGTAACTCAAGTTGGTCAATTGAAGGTTCAGGCTCTTCTACACAGCCTTCAAAGTCTCTCTCCTATATACAGGCAGATCTCAGTGTCCTTAGGGAGACACTGGCCCAGGATTTCTCAACCCCACACAGGAAAGAATGTTGTAATGTTCCTTGCAGAACTCTAAGTGTTAAGTCTGTATCTGAGACTATCTGGAAGCACAAGCAGCCAGCATTCAGGTCATAACTCAAGACTTTGGTCATAAGTTAAAACTAAAGTTCTGGTCATAACCCAAGTTGTTCGTGTTATCAGGCCGGTTCTAACTTGAGGGTTCAATGTATCTGTATATAACTTCTAAGAGGAACCAAATTGAGTGTTTACACCAGAGAGTCTCATCCATGTTGTCTGAAGTGTGTTTACTGAGGGGGTCTCAATGTCTTAAACATAAGTGGCATAAATGTTATCAAACAAAAGACAACCTCCAAGTGCACATGTGTGTGTAGGTATGTGTTGGGGAAAAATATACCATGAAATTCGGTTTTAAAATTTGCCTCTGCAAATCCTTACAGTGATGTGCATTACCTCTGTGCATCTTCTTTCCTCATGGGCAGAGACTATGTTTATCCTCCCTCCACAGGTTGTGTCAGTAGGGCTCTTGCCCAGTGCAACATCTTAACAGCACTCACAGTCATGCATGACTAATAGAGCTGGTCTCATCAGTGCCAACATTTGCACCCCATGTGGATGTTACAATGTCACAGTGCTTGGGTACTGCTACTGGAATCAGAACCTGTATCTCAAATGACTTAACCAATGCTTTGGTAATATTCACAATGAAACCCACAGGTGTTTATGAAGTATTCGTTTACTTCTGGGCTGCAAAATCCAAAGTTTAAAAAAAAACCACATAAAAACATGGGCATGAGTTATTTATCATTTTATTGCTTTCTTGTTTCTCAATGCACAATATTTTTGAAGAATAGCAATAAGATGTCCAAAATTCAACATTATTAACATTCAATAGTAAAATACAATGTGGAAAAAAAGCCCTCAAATGTTAAGTAATCTAAGCTCTATCTGTCAGAACCAATTGGCATAGCAGCTACTGGATTTATCATCGTGGTTCAAGATGAGAATTGCTATCCTCTGACCCAGGGAACAGGAACAAGTCTCAAATGCCAACCAACCCTTTAGGCACTGGGGGAGCACTTTGGTCACCCTTTGCAATGTCTGGGAGATTTTTGTAATGACTTTGACTAATACAGCAATCTGCCCTCTCACCCCAGGTGTAAAAAAGATCCTGCTGCCAAGACAGTCAAAAGAAACTCCCATGATTACCACTAGAACATGAAGACCAGAAATGATCCCTCTGTCCAGGAGGCGGCCCGCACCTGCAGAGTTCTCTGGTCCTTTGCAAAGAAACAACCCATTCTAAGAGCATGGGGAGAGGCCTTGTGCAGTGACCGGCTGAAGGCAGGGCAGCTGTGAGCAGCATTTCACTTGAAGGCACAGGGTTCTCATCATCCGGAGGATGGGGAGTCACTTGTTGTGAGCTACTTCAAAATACAATCCTACCTCTGAAAAATTGTTAGCTGCCATACATCTGATTGCAATTTCAGCCTGGACTCTTTTGCAAGGCCCAGAGTCTTGGGCACCCCTGAAAATCTTGCTGTGGCCTGCTCCTTCTATAAGGAATCAGATTTCCAAGAGGTTGAGCCTCAAAGGAACACACAGCTGAAATCATACAACAGGCAAAAATAAATACATGACTCTGTAGTATGGGTGTGAAACCATCACACAAAAAAATAAATATCTCAGACCCAGAAATTATTGACCACGTGCTAACAATACCTGGTAGAAGTCTGAAACTGGTGATTTTTACTATAAAAAATTTATCTACCATGACTCTGATCAACTACATTTAACCTGACAAGCAAAAATGTATGAAAAACACTCTAATTGTTTTTAAAAGCAGATTTTGTTACGTACCAAGCATACAGATCAAGTTTACTGATAGTCATCAAGATACCCAATTTAAATAAATCCCTTTCAGTCTTTCCCCACCATCAGCTTAGGTTTCCATGACAAGAATGGACAAGTGCCAACTGTACCTTGTCAGTGGCCCTGAAGGTGTGGTCGCATGGACTCTGTCTTAAAGAATAGACCCACACTTTTGCTTGAGGGATCGTCTTGAGTGCTTCCTGCTTTGGAAATCTCAGCATTATGAATGTTCTTTACAAACGTGGGGCTGCTCAAACAGGAAACAAGAAGAAAACACAAAGGTGCATTTATTTATGTCCATGCCATCTAAAGCTACTGAGAACAGCAATCAGGACTGGAGAAGGGATGAATCAGAACCTAAAACAAAAATAACAAAAACACTGGGACATTTGCCCTCTGAATTGCAAGTCTGAGCTCAAAGAAAATTTGCTTGTTGGCAAGCCAGTTTTCTCCCTGAGAAGTTCGCTTCATACTCCACTCTCACTCCTGGATCTTCTGCCTGTCATCATTAAGGCCTGGACAGTGTTAGGAAGGTGTGCAATCTCTCTGCAGAGCTGTCAGTCATCCATGGGCTCAGGCTGCCCAGCACTCATCTCTGCAGGCTGCCTCCGAAGCTCCTCCACCATCTGGAGCAGGGCAACCCGCTCCAGCTCCAAGGCCAGTGTGGCCTGCTTCAGCTTGCTCTCGCTGGTCAGGAGCTTCTCTACCATAGCTTCAAGGTTGTGGATCTTACCATGTGCCACCTGGAGAAGGAAGAGAAATGAGAATGTACCTGCCAGGATAATGCCAGAGGGATCCGCTGTGCAAGGCACCGTCCAGCTTAGAGAGCACTTTGGAGCTGGGCACTGGCAGACAAGCCTATGGTTGATGATCCATTCTGGTCACAGGGCAAGACCTCCCAGCTCCCCCTGCAGGCCGGCTGGGCTAAGCCCAAACAAACACCAAGATCCTCCAGCATTTTCTGCCTGCAGGGCTGCTCTGGATGCCAGATGCTGGGGTGGTAGCATCACACTGTATGGGGAATCTGACCCCCTGGTACCCTCATAGGGAGGACAGTGATGATACGGCCAAAGAATGCTTCAGGGAGAAGGGGAATGTTCAAGGACACTGTTAGGTCAATGAGCCTGTGAGCTTTATTTACTTGCGCATAGCAGCCCAGTCTATTCCGACTAATGCATATATCTACACAAACTGATTTCAGATTGATAGTCAAAATAGTTCTGTAATTCTTTTTATTTCCCACAGAGTAACAAAACATCCCTAGGCCAGGATATCTGGGCACAGAAAGCCTAGAGTGACCCAGAATTCTGCTGAGAGGTGCCCAGGGATATCTCACCACTGGTCACCACCACTCTCGGAAAGGAACAGTGTTTTTCCTCCACTCCAGAGGAGGAGCGCGGCTCATGCATGGTTTATACCCTTAGCACCAAGCACACAATTAGCACCAGGTATGGAGCTTCCAGGTGTTCTCTAAAACCGGACCTCCTCTCTCTAACACACTGCACAAGCTTTAATGTTAGGCTGATGTCCTCAGACCCCTGTGGCCTATCCTTCAGGTCACTGCTGCATTACGAAACACATGGTCAGTAAGGAATGGCTCTACCTCATGAACTCAGCTCATTCCTGTACATGCCCCATTGACTTTAGGTGGGAAAAATGGCATACTTGTCTTTTCTCATTTTTAAACTGGGAAAATAGTTTTGGGACAAGATACTGTAACCCTTGTGCCAAACAGACAACTCCTATCTCAAAGTCTACCGCCAGCCGTGCCCCTAGAATACTCAAAACATAAGGAGAAATCTGCTGCTCATCTGGTTTGATCTCTAAACATACTCTGTTCTTCCAACTCCTCCCTACTGTCAAAGCTCGTAGAGGCCCCACACCTCAACACTCTGATGTCCCACCGCATCCTGAGGTGTACCGTGAAGCTCAAGGAGTAATGAACTAGTCTGCATGGTCATTTGCCATGCAACTTTAGCAGGGAACCAATTTTGCATGGTTAGTAGTGAACTAATTTGTATGGTTATTTCCTCCTGTTCTGTGTGAATGGCAGGCCCTCTCAATAAGGCTGAAGTTCTTTTGTGGAAAGAAGTCTGTTTCACACTGTGTGATTAACAATATGGTGAATGTTAAAGTTTTAAAATTTATCACAGTAAAAGACACAGTGCCGTTAATCCCTCTCAATATACCCCCCCCACACACATATTTATCCCATTGTTCTTGCCACTTTCTGTAGCAGTTCTGCAAGACTTCTTTTGTGAGTATCTTTTTGTGGCTGCCTTGACATCCTGATTAAATCAAAATCTTTACAGTTATTTCTGTCAAACAGGTCATCCTCATCCATGTTATTGACTGGATCTGGCACCATGCAACTTCTGACTCTTCCTCAGTAAAAATGACCACTGGGTGAACATTTTGAATTGATTTCATTCATTGAGGTAGCCATGACTGTGCAATTAAACACACACAAGAGGACTTCCAGAACTGCCTCAAAAAGTGGCAAGAATGATGGGATAAGTATGTCTGAAGCAAGATGGAGTATTTTGAGGGGAATTAATGGCAATGTGTATTTTACTATAATAATTTTTTGATATTTAAACATTCACTGTATTATGTGATTACACCTTGTATCTTTGACATGGTCTCCCTTCCCATGGCCCAGGTTCAGAATGGGAATCAATGGCTTGTAGCTGTTGATTATTATGAAAAATCCACATATGTTATTTGGAAACATCAGGCATGTTTGCATAATTGTCTTAAATACTGCTGGACAAAGAGGTGAAAGAGTCTAATCTCTAAATTCTAAACAGCACTTTGGCATGTAGTTTGGCATGTCCACCAACTATATTAACAGAACAAAGTTGGAAAATAGGTCAATTTTGGTAATGGGGGTTTTACATACGAAACTTCAGGATGTATTATACACCTTTATTATACGAAAGGAGTAGCAGTAACATATAGGATACATATTCTCATAGAGAATAGTGAAAAAACTATACAAATATCCATGCACTGACACACCACATTATCAATCCCCACTCTGTGACTTAACAGGCGTGGTGGCCCCCAACATGGTCAGGACTTGGTAACTGTGGTGAAATGAACTGGTACAAACTGGAGTTCTGAATGATCCCCCCACAAATGCAGAGCCACCCGGTCCAGAGAAAGAACATCTATTATTACCAATTACCACTGGAATGCAGATTTCTGAGCAGTTTTTCTCTACTCTTTGTTTTTACAAAAGGTGGAGAGTATCATATAAACAGCATAAAAGTGCTTGCCCGCCTCTTACATACTACCAGGAAGCCACATGGCCTTTTGCCTAATGGACCTTTAATATGAAAACTGCCTTGTCCTACAAAGCCAGGTACTTTCAATACAATCATGAATTTAGTTAAAGCATTCCCATTGTGTTGTACTTGTGGAGTCCATTGTGGGCTGGGAACCTATTTAAAATAAGCACCTGCACCATGTACCCTTGCAGGCCAGATGAGGCTGCCTGTTCCCCTGACACTTCCCCTCGGGTTACAGCTGAGACTTCTGGGGAAGATGGTATACAGGTATGATTTCAGTTAGGACAAGTCAATCTCAGGAACAAATAAGTTAACATTCAGAATGTGACTGGCAGTTAGGATTGGGGAAGGAAGGCATTTTCCTCTTCAGCAAGTATCTACTAAGATCTACTGAGATAAGTGTCTTCTGGGAGAAATGTGTTTCAGACAAGGGTAGCAGGCTTTCCAACGCGGGCTTTTCTCACATCTCCACCAAGCCTGTATCTACAAAGAAGCAACTTTCCCTGGAGAACACTCAGGCTCAGATTAGAATGGAAGGTTACTCTACAGACAGCCCAGAGGACTTCATAAACAACTTTCTTCTTCTTCTTTTTTTTTTTTTGTACCAGGGATCGAACTTGGGACCTTGCGCTTGCAAGGCAGGTGGTGGAACCACTGAGCTAAATCCCCAGCCCTTCATAAACAACTTTAAAACAAAATTTAAAAACATTCTCAAACAATTCCTAGTGACAACATTCACCCATTAGTAACTCTAAAATGATGACCATGTGCCATTTGACAACAAAGGAGCTGCAGCCTGCAGTGAAGTCTTCCTCCTCCTATCCCTGTCACAAATGAGGCTACCGGGCAGAGCAGGCAGCAGACTGCCTGGTGACAGTGTGGAGGGGCCACACCCAGGCTGAGAGATCTTGCACTATGCCAGATACTGGCTCCGTCTCAGCCTTCTGAGTACACAAGCCATTCTGCCTTTATTCTGTGTGCACTTTTCTACCCTAAGGTGGAAGTTTCTAGAGGGGAGAACCATGCCCTTTGTTAGTCAGATCTTGGCATTCGCACCCAGGACCCCCAAGCAATGAACACATGTTCTGGTTTATTCTATTAGGTAGATTAGTGTGTCACTTTGCCCTCTTAACGTCCTTCTGTGAACCTACCTTGCTTCCCTCATGGCAGTGAAAGCTCTTGATTCTCTCACTACTCAAGCACAGTTGCTGGCCTTCAGCTTTGAGTACCATAGCATCTGGAACCCAATTCATCCCTAGGCCTGTCTCCTAAAAGGGCAAGTGCAGAAAAAGACTCTCAGAAAGCTCTGGGGCTGTCTAACCTTAGCCAGGATAATCTGTCTGCTCAGAAATAAAATGACTGATTCTCTTGGGATACCTCTGATTCAACTACAAACACATCAGGGTGAGAAAGGGCCTCTGGTCATGGGAAAGCCCAGTCTGCTGTTGCCTTTGCTGAGTTAATGAACTACCACATACTGTGGTTCACAAAGCTGATCTATAAATATGTTCTACCTGCAATTGTTCAAGGAGGTCAAGGTTCTGTTTGCGTAAGCTGCTGTTGGTTTTCTCTAATTTATCCATTCTTTGGTTGTCATTGAGCGGAGAGGAATCAATAAGTTCTTCTTGAAGGACATGGTACTCAACTTCATAAGCTTGTAACTGTTTAGCAATGTCCATCTCAAACACCTGTTAAATACAGAAAAGTCATCAGGCTCCAAAAAGGAGAAAAATCTCACACAATCACAATGCAACTATATAAAAACACGCACACACATGATCATGTCAAGGAGCATTCATCAATCACCACTTCCACACTTCGCACTATATTTGGTAACAGATGAGAAATAAGAAAAACTCTGCACTGAGGAGGTAATGATTTTATTTGGAAAGAAAGACATAAGAAACATCTAGAAATAATTCCAAGGTGACATTTAGCAGAGGTGCCAGATACTCATCTTCCAAATGCTAAAACCTTGTTTTTAAAAAGACAAAAATTTATTTTTAGTTCTTACTTCTTTTCTTTGAAATTTTGATTAGGTTAGAAATATCAACTATGGTTTAAAGGAAGAAAACACAAAGTAATCATAGCCTATTTGCACAGTCACCAAGCCAAGGTTTAATTATAACTCAGTTGGGTTTCCAGAGTTGCAAGAACCGCTAAGTAATGGAACTGTTTACTGAAACATTCTTCTTTGCACAGAGATATAAAAAAATGAGGCAAAACCCAAATGTCACCCCCACACATAGATGAGTGAATATGAAACAATGCCTGAATTGTCTCCCTTCCCATAACTGTAATAGTGCTGACAAAACCACACGTGTGAAACACAACCCCAAGAGCACAAGTGACTCAAGCGATGGTGACTGTACTTTCTCCCGGTCAAGCTGCAAGGCTTGAAGAGGCAGGGCTGGAGTCAGAAGAGAGATGCTGCTGCTGCCCAGCACAAGCTCTTCCCCTCCATGTTCTCTGTGGGAACCCACAGCTGGGCACCCTCTACACGGGGGTCAAGCCCTTACATGGATCTGAGAACTCAGTCAAGCTTGGACCATCTAAAACAACCCTGACAGATCAGAACGAAGTTCAGAGAATGAAGGCTTCACAAGAGCAGAAATTGCCTCTCTATTGCATTTCCTTACAAAAGAAACTCTAACACAGTTAAAACCCAGTGGAAGCCAGGCATGGTGTTGTATGGCTGTAATCCTAGCTACTTGGGAGGCTGAGGCAGGAGAATCACAAGTTCATGCCTAGCCCGGGTGATTGAGACTCTGCCTCAAAATAAAACACGAAAAATAATACGCTGGGGATGTGTCTAGCACTTACTTAATTTTAGTTGCACAAAGCCCTGGGTTAGAGCTCCAGTTCCAAATAAGAAAAAACGAAGAAAGAAAAGTAGCTTCCCCTGATGGCACTCTACAAGCTTCAATTTTCAAAGGTCATGTTTACTTTTTCACCATTCCTTGAGATGAACTTTTCAGCTTCCTTTCAGTTTAATTCAGTGATCAATACTACATAGGTTCAAAAATCAGTCTACCCCTAAAACTAAAACACATACTATCTGTGCCATGGGTGCGTGTGTGTGTGTGTGTGTGTGTGTGTGTGTGTGTGTGTGTGTGTGTGAGAGAGAGAGAGAGAGAGAGAGAGAGAGAGAGAGACAGAGAGAGAGAGATTTTTTACACTGAGCTGGTTTGTTTTTTTTAACTCAAATGTCCTGCTCTGTCCACATCTCACAGAAACCAGTCACCAAGCACTGGTCACTCTACCAACTGTGAGGCACCAGCCCCTCTCCAAGAGGACTGGGTCCCATCTTTATAATGGGTCCACCTTGGGCAATGCTGCCTAGTCATGACTAGTGGGGACCTCATGTCTTTCCCCCATCCTGGCTCTACAGTTTCTCTCAGTTTTCAGGCAAGTTCCAGAACACTGAGGCTGAGGAAAAGGGAGCACTCTTCTGCTTGCCAAAGTAGGAATTGCCCATTTCCCTATTGTCAATGTTTTGCCCAAAAGATAAACTATTTGTTTTTTATTAGTGAAGCAATACAGCTATATTAAGGAAGCTTGAAAAACAAAAGAAAAATCACCAGGGCTGGGGATTTAGCTCAGTGGTTCCACCGCTTGCCTCGCAAGCACAAGGTCCTGAGCTTGATCCCCTGTACCAAAAAAAAAACTTCAACAAAAGAAAAGTCACCAGTACAATTTCCATCATCTTGCTATACTTCCTTTCATCTTTATTTCTGTAAGTATGTTCTTCTTGTGGTAAACATAATCAACATAAAATTTCCTATACCATTGTTTCTCACTTATATTCTAAAAGCTTCTTTATATTGCTCTATGTTCTTCATAGTCATAATTATATAAATGGCTGTGTAGTTTTCTAGCACCTTGACCCTAACCATATCAACTCATTCATCAAGTACCGAACCTAAGTACTGTCAACTTCCAACTATAAGAAAATATCCTTATATGTATGGCTTTTCCCATATTTTTAATTATTTCCTAAGGACACATCCTAAGAACTGGGACTAGAAGTTAAGGAGTATGAATTTTTATTGGCTTATGATACATACTGGCAAACTGCTTCCCAAGTGGGCATAATCAAGGTATAATGCCACTAACAACATAACAATGCACCACATACACTGTACCCTTAGTGTTATGAAATGACGTTAAAAAATGTGCGGTTGTTAACCTAGTGGATAAGGCATTATATTACGCATACATGTAAATTATGCACGAAGCTAACATCTTCCCAGGTATCTGTTGACTAGATGGCTCTCCTCTTCAGTGAATTGTCTGTTTATGTTCTGGGCTTGTTATGTTCTTACTACTAGAGACTCAGTTTTTCTCTGCAGTCCGTGGAATCTGTAAAATAAGGTCATTAACTCTGGTGCCTTATAGACCTAGCTACACACTTTCCACCTTCCTAACCCCACACCCTGCCCTGCACTCTCCTGGTCTTGGTGGGATGCAGGGGCTGGATGGTGGGAGTGCTCTGCCTGTGTATGGGCCACAAGGGGCACGCTGTCTGCAGTGAAGTTAGAAACAACAGTAAAGCTGACTAAAGCCGGTCTGCTTTTTATTATCACCACATGTGAGCACTTCCAAACAATCCTAGAGGTATTTCTGTACCCCACCCTCTTGGTGGGGCACTGCCAGTCCTTTTACACAACTGCTCACTTTCAAAAGTGCCAACTGCCCGAGAACAGAGGCCTTCCCGAGGGCAGAGGCAGCCACCATGCTGCCGCAGCATCCTCTGAACACAAGAACTGTTAGGATTCTGGTTCCATCCTACAAGCTTAAGGGCAACATCACTTTGTTCTTGATAAAGTGGCGCTCAGCAGAGCTTTCACATGTCCTGGGGATGAGAGTCCCTTGGGGAGCTTGGGAGAGTGCAGGTTCTGACTCACTAACTCTGGGGTGGGCCCACAGATTCTATATTTCTAACAAGTTCCTACCTGATCTGATGATGCCACCAGCCTGGGGCATAAAGGATATAAAAAAGAGGCTACTGGCCCTGCCTCCTGAAGCTGCTCTTTACTCTTTCTGCCATAAACCAAACTGAGGCTTGAGAGTTACACAGCACTCTGCGATGCTGAGCTTCCCACTGTTACTAATCATCCCCAGAGCTCCCTTCTTCCTGGGCCAGAAGATGCTTACAGTTTACAAGCAACTGGCAGTTCCCTGGGTGAGTATAAGGTCACACTGAGGAGCTGCCTCAGAGGCTTTGGTGACCCTGGGGTTTCTGCCTGGCCTGTCAAATCCCAGAACTGCCTCTGTGGCTGCTCCCAGCCTGGCCACACTGAGCCGGAGCTCCCAAGCCCTGTTCTCAGCCACTCTTGCTGAGGCCTTATGTAGGGAGGGCATTTAATGAAATGGGGCCCTGGCTGTCACAGAGGAGTGCTCAGAAACACACTGCCCACCACATGCAACTGTCTATCCACTGTTCCTATGCTCTGTCACAGCAGTGAATGCCTCCATCACTCCCACCCTGGGATCTGGAACCTGGCCTACAAGGTCTGGGCCTGGGGCTGCTGAGGAGCTACACTACACCTCGACCTGCTCTCCAGGGACTCTGGAGGAAAGGCCCTGGGAGAGGGGCCAGCAAGCTTGAGGCAGGGCTCAGATGTCAAGATCCAGACAGAAACAGGGAGGACAGAGGGCTCTCTGGAGTTTTATCTATTTTTTTAAAAATCAAGACTGGAATGAAAAGTTGGGCTCCAAATGTAGATTTTGTGCAACCTACACCCTCACACCCACCCCATTTGCAAGCTGAACAACACATCAGGCACCTGGGACTGGCTCTTGGTTCTCTCACACCTGTGCCTCTGGCATGTCGTGATCTTTCAGCTCAGGGGTCAGCCAATTACAGCCTGTGTACTGTGTCCCACTGCCGGTTTCTGCACAGGAAGTTTTATTGCAACACAATCACTTCATCCCTTTATACTTGTCTACAGCTCCTCTGCACTGCAAAGGCAAAGCTGAGTAGCTGCAGCAGAGCACTTATCAGCTGCAAAGCCTCCAATACTTCCTGTCTGGCCTCTGCACAAAATGTTGACTTAGCTCATTCTTTTAGCTCCAACTGGACTCAACTACCTCAATTCCAACAGCAGTACTCAGGCACCCCACAGCCTTGTTCCCATAGGCCCTGCCACTGTGAATGTGGTACTGCACACGTCACTTTCTCTATGCACACTTTCCTCATCTATGAAAATGGGGATTGTAATACTATGTCCCAGAGATGTTAAGGAGTCAGTAGAGTACTGAATCCCAAGTTTCAAAACAGCTGCCTGAAACAAATCAGGCACATAAGGACAACTGTACTCTTCCCACACTGTGGCCATTTCTATACTTTCGACATGAAAGAGCTCCTGGTGTATGCTAGGATCCTAGGTACTCTCAGTATTCCTCTCTACAGAAAAGGGCAGAAAAGGATGTTTCCTGGAGGCTGACACCCAGGAGCCCTGCCTGTCCACCAAGAGCCCTGCCTCAGAGCCAGGAACCTACTGAGCATATTTGACCTCAGTAACCAAGGTCCCAGCAGCTATGAAACAAAAGCTATAAAAAAGGGAATGAATATAAATATGCCAGAAATTAAAGAATCAAAAAGACAGAGAACCTAGTATTAAGATGAAGGTAAAATCCAGAAAAAGTCCATAATCAAATGATCCCCAGAGACGAACTGCTGCTAAAGACTTTGAGGTGAGAGAAGCTGAAGCCCCACCCTTCCCTTCTGCAGCAGAGTGTGGGCCAGTTACTTAGCCACTTTACATCCTGTCAGGAACGTGGTCATGAGAGAATGAGATCATGTGTATATACAGATTCCCTAGAACCTGGCAAAAAGTAAGGACTCAACAAGCCATCAAGAGGACCATGCCAGGGAAGTAAAATAGAAAAAGAAAGACACAGAGACTGCTAGTTAACTAAAAATTAAGCACAAAGTGGAAAAGAACTGTTCTTTCACATGGGTGTACGTGTGCAGTGTGCAGAGATCCAAAGAAAGAATCAATATGAAATCCCCTCCTTTTCCCAGGCCAGACTTGTATCTTTTTCTGTGTTTATTCACCATCTAGTCTCCTGGATAAACCTCCAACATTTCAGAGAACAAAAATGGTTCTATCGTAAATGGAAAGCAGGTACTGAAACCACATATGTGCAACTGAATTTTTGGGGAAAAACATACATCAATAAAAGCAAATAGAAAAACTATACCAACAGATAGATCCACAACATATGTTTCCTATAACTATTATAAGAGTTACAGTAAAACCTCAGTTCACAAACGCTTCTGTTTCCAAACAATTCAGTTAGAATTGTAAAACAAATTAAGTTCTAAAACGAGGTATGACTATATTTTCAAAAAATTTCAATTAATACTATTCAGCAGAAAAAGCGAAGCTCTCATTTTATAAAAGCCTGTATTTTACAAATGCATGCATTTCAGGAAAACAAACATTTAAGAGCCAAAGCCTCTTAAATGTATGGAACTGACAACTTTTGCGTGCTGTCACATCAAACACTGCTGAGTTTCTTTGTGCCGTTTCACCACTGCACTCACAGCATACACACCCAGTCATAGGTTTAACCATTCAACACACATCTGGGATACAACTCCTACGTGGCAGGCATTGTGTAAGAAGCTGCTGAGAACACAACGGGTAGGAAACAGCTGCTGCTTGAAGTTAAGCTTCTACAGATCCAGAATTGCTTAAGCATGTGGAAGCACTGGACTGAATCATACCTGATTGATGGTCTTCTCCATCTGCACCAGACCCAGGTTGGGTAGTGTGTTTTTTATGAAGTCCACTATTGTTTCTAGGTTTTCATGCTGCAGAATCAAAGGCTTATGGCTTCCCAAAAGACTTAAGGCCACTTTAAATATGACCTCTGACCCCTGAAGAAAGATCATATCTGGGAAAATGCAAGAAAGGCAGAGTTAAACCATACCAATTTCTAGTGAAATACCATTCTGTTTCCTTTTCCTCACAGCATAGAACAAGAAGGTGGGAAACATAACCCCAAAGTGCAAATTTATTTTTTTTTAAGAACTAGTTATTTCACATGGGGTTGTCAAGACAATACTGCAAATAGTAAAAAGAGTATATAAACACATGGCTTAGATTTTGTCACAGGTTCAGATAAGTCTTTTTTTCCACTCTGAAAATGAATTAAAATCAAAAGTTAAATTGAGAAAGAGACAAAATATTTTATTAGTCTATTTTTCCAGGAATGCTCTGGATTTTAAAGGACTTTCTAGAACATGTTTTTATGAGTAGGACTAAAAGATGTTTACAAAGTAATTGAAAAAGTGCCTCTATTTCCTCTGTTTTAAAATAAGAGATGGAATTAAAAGATATCTAAGAACTGTAAAAGGTCTACTTAATTGCAGATGTACATTATTAAATGTGAGCACAATGAATTTCAATTCAGTAAAAGACATTTTTCTCTCTGAAGAGTTTAAAGAACTTGGTCAAAGTTGCTTTTTAGTTCTTCCAGTAGTTTGTATACTGATTTTATACACCAGGAGGCAGCGGACAAGTGGCCAAGGTGACCAGGTGAGTAGCGACACCCTTCCCATGGAGGTGGAGCTGCTGGAAAAGAGAAGCTAATGCCCTGAGGCCAGTGCAGTCACAGCAACGTCAGTGGGTGGCTAAACTCAAGCAAATTACCTAAGAAAATACATAATTTAAAAGATAAAATATAAATATAATTAGGGGCAATAGTCAATATATCTTTTCTCTTTTGTTTTTTTAGCTTCAAGATAATGGAAAGGATGAAGTTGTGAAGGGTCAAATCAAGAAAAACAAAAGCAGGCAAGAGGATGAATCCCTTACCTCGATGCCTTCCAGGTGGCTTAGTGTGGTAACATGTAAAAGCCACTGAGAAACAGAAAAGCAAAGGGTGCCCACTGCCACGCAAGTGGGAAACTGAGTCAGTGGTTTCCAGACAAAGCAGGGGAAGGAGACATGACAGGCCTGAGTGTCTGCTGGCCCGATTAGCCCTCAGGATGCTCTGTGACCTTCACAAGGCCCTTAGCCACAGAGGTGGAGTTGGTCTTGACCTGGATGGGGCCTGGGCTGAGGTGCAGCCCTGGGCAGTGCCAGCACTGAGACCGCCTGCACCAGCTGATCCACACAGGGACTGTGCCACTTCCACAGACACCACTGCGGATGGGCAGGGCGGTCCCAGGAGTGGGAAGGCCCGATTCCTTCTTAGTGCTGGTCACTGAGCCTTGGAAGGTAAGTTAGAGAAGTGATTGTATCTTTGAAATCTGGGCTTCTGTAGGGAAAGTTTAAAATGTAGGGCCATGGAAGAATACTCCTGTGAAATGTCTGGTTTGTAAAACATACAGCCTAACCAAGTAATTCACCACTACCGGAAATAAAAAGATCTAAGACGCATTTCAAATGAAATTATATTTCTAAAAGAAAGCAAATTCAAAATCTCAGTGATTTAAAACAGTGGCTTCTTTTCAATATATGAACATTTATAGCTGAACAAAAAAGTTTATCTTTCAGAATAAAAATCTTCTTTGAAAAGATCTTGGGGGTCAGATTCTATTACCAGACCAAAACAAGGGTAAAAAGTGCCTTTTGTGGAGGCTGCGCTGGGTCCGACCCACAGGCTCATAGATGCTTCCTGCTAGCCTGGGTGCTCCACTCCTCTCCACGCCCTAGAAACTTCCGGGAGACCAGAGAGGCCTTAAACAAGGACTTCACTGGGTGCCCACTGCAGGCATGTGATGAAAGGCTTGAAGGAAGGCCCCTCTCCTCAAGTTTCCACCGGGGAAGAAGGGGATCCTGAATTTACAGAAGGGCTGCCATCTCCACAGTGAAGTTGGGTTGTTTTTGCAAGTCCTTTACCTACTTAAGCACCCTAAGGAAAGATTTGTCTCCTACAGCCTAGAATCCTCTGCAGGCAGCAGCTCCAGGGGTGGCCCGGGGGAACGGAGGACTCGGTGACCACAGCTCCACCCATTCCAGCTGAGGCTGTGGTCAGCCCAGCCCCCTTGGTAGAACTTTCCTTACAAACCACAGTATTCGTTGCCTGAACTGTTTTCAAACTATTACCAAACAGCATTCCCTCTTCCCCCACTGAATCCTCAGTGGCAAGAAAGATTGAAATTCACAGGTGGAGATCGTATAGTTTCTGTAACTCTTGTCACTAAATACATATTTTGGGTTTGTTTTTTTTTTTTTAGCTATAGTCTAAACCTTCATGATATTTAAGTAACAATTTGCTTCACCATATTTAGTATCTATTTTGCTTTCATTTTTTTAGGGCTGGAAAATAAAAATCAATTTGGAGAGACAGTTACGCAAAAGGGGGTTAGGAATATTTTATATTTTAAGACTACAGTTCCTGTAGTAAAGCCAACTGAGAAATTCTTCAAAGGTTCTTGAGGACAGAAGTGAATAATGACTCAAAAAAATGCAGTATTCTATACAGAAGGAAAGAGAAAAGAAGAGTAAATGTTCATTAGATTACAAAGCGAATTTTAGAATCTGGATATATAGGATGTCCACCAAAAGTATGCCTAAAATAGCACACTCTCAATATTTTTGAACATTCCCTGTATGATGTTCTCAGGTTCTAAAAATAAATCTTAAAAATGTGATAAGGTTATACGTTAATAAGCGACTCTCCAAAAATAACATTTAAATACACTTGATATGTGATCACTATTAATTTTTTAAAGCAACCTTTTCCTTCATGATAAAAAAGAAAATCTGAATTGCCACAAATACTTGCATTTTTAAAGAGGAAAATAAACCATGTAACAGTTGATCGTGGCTTGGAGTGGCAGTGCACACCTGTAATCTCAGGACTCAGGAGGCTGAGACAGAAGGATGGCAAGTTCAAGTACAGCAAGACTCTGACACACACATGCACGCACGCACGCGCATGCACAAATTAAACTTGCCCACAGAATTTCACCAGGCTCCTGAGATCCAAGGCAGTTTAGAGACTTTGCATTTGAACATCTACATTGTCAAAGCGGAAAGAGGATGGTTTGACAAGTGATCAACCTCAGGGCACAGCAGGACACAGAAATGGAGTAACTGTGACACCTGAAACACATGTGAGCAGTGTCAGGGCAGAGGAGAGGAGTCACCCACACAGAGGTGTCACTGAAAGCTCTGACATGGGTCTTCCGGAGGGTGATTACGTAGAAAACGAAGAGCCAAGAGTAGGGAAAGAAAAGAAATGGGAGAAGATAAGGGAATGTGGAAAGAGCAACAGCTCAGAGGCTGTAGGTCAAAGAGTTGTAAGAATGATCAGTGAACAACAGAGTCACAAGGTGGAGACCCTGAGGAAGGTGATGTACGAGGAATACACCCAGGGCCCCTCACAAAGTCTCCCGGATATCTGCTCTAGGGAGAGTCTCAGGGGTGGGAATCTGACAAAACCCAAAGACAGAGACACCTAGGCACACCTGGGGAAGCCCCAGGGTATCCAGAGGTGAGGCAGCATCTGAAAGTGCAAACACCAGCCCTGACCACACCCAGACTATCAAACTGTTCTTGTGAGATATTACTATAAAAACAAGCAGAACCACCAGTGAGTGACAACACCTCTCATCAACAGAACACTGGTTTTGGCAGAAAGATGCATGGAGCTCACCAAAGACTCTGGCTACAAATCCCAGTGGGAACTGTGAGGCGAAGACGGTGAGAAACCACGGGGCAGCGTAGAGGCTGGGCCCGATCTCGTGCTCCTCCAGGTGGTCATAGAGGTCTCTGTGGTAGTCATGAAGGAGCCGTGAGAGCTGGTACATCTGGATCTGCAGATGAGACGTCCACAGGTGCCGAGAATTAGGCATGTGCTACACGTACAAGCTTACCAACCCCGATGCAGGGTCTAAGAGAATTACTAGCACTTCAAATCTTCTATGCGGATTGTGGCATGCACTGATCTTGACTACTAATCCACCCAGCAAGGGCTTTTCAGGAGGCGACTATGTGCCAGGCACTGGCTGACCCAGAATGCTAATGCTTGGTCTCTTGCCTCTTCCCTTTCATTGTCCTCCTGTGTAGCCTGGCTAAGAGAACTAAACATCTGCCTTGTGTAAAAACATTTCCAAAAATTCTTACAAATATACATTCTTAGAAAAACTCAAACCCTGAGGAATTAGAAATAAAAAGTCAGCCCTTCTGTTAAGAGTAAACTGAGGGCACATCATGATTCTAGAGAGGAAATCCATTGGCCACAGTCCCTTAGTCCCTGCTGGACTCCCAATAGTATGTAAATTCAGGACAAGTGTAAATTTTAGATCCTGGGCAAGTTAAAACAAGAAGTGTTTGTCTTAAGGTGAATAACTAAACACAGGTGCCAAGAATTTGAGTCTAACTAAAACTGGACTCTAATATCAAGGGTTCTCTCTTTAAGAACCATGTGGCAGGAAGCTCACTGCAGTTCCTGGTTGGCCCCATGGCTTACGGAGGCCAGCAGCCACCCCAGATCTGAGACCCAGGGTGCGGGCCTAAAGATCTCTAGTGAGAATCAGAGACTGACAGAGACACTCCCAGTTGTGTATGTACAGTATACGTACAGCATAAACTGGGAAAAATGAGGCGACACTATTTTCAAAGGCTTGAGCAATAAACCCTTCTGAAGCACTCACTAGTTGTGGTTCTTCTGTATTTAAAAGTTTAATCAGCCAAGGCTACCAGTCTGAAAAGATACATGTGTTATGCTAAATTATATACAATTCAAAAAAAGCTTTCTCTCTCATGACAGCTACCTTAAGGACAATGGAAGAAACACAGGAAGAGCCTGACAGTAAGTGTGGAAAGTGCTATGTGGGTCAAGTCTTTCAGTGGACAAAACAGTTCCCTTTCATGAGATTTATGGTCATGGATTTCATATTCACAAGTCAAGGCAAAGGACTGGGGGATGGCATTGGGGACTGAACCCAGCGCCTTCACACTGAATTACAAGCTTAGCCCTTTTTAATAGTTTTTTATTTTGAGACAAGGTCTAAGTCACTAAGTTGCCCAGGTTGGGCTCAAACGGGATCTCCTGCTTCAGCCTCCCAGAGTGCTAGGACTAAGGGCATGTGCTAGCACGCCAGGCTTGGCAAAGGGCTTTTTAATTACACAATTTGGTGTTCTCAAACTCCTCCTTCCTCTAACAATACTTTCCAAAACTCTGAAATCAGAATCCTACCAGGAAATGAACATATAAACATGTGCTCCAACATTTTAAGCAACATTTAGGAACATTCCTGAAGCTCTCCCCACCTCTGAAAGGTGGCAGGAGCAGCACCTGGCACGCAGAAGGAATGCACTGCTAGGTTTGGTTTGTAAGACAAGTTCAGTGATGGTGAACCTTTTAGAGAGTTCAATGATTTATAAACAGCCCAATGTGGCATGTGTGCCATAGGTTCGCCACCACTGAATTAATTTATTCAACAAATACTGATTGGTGCCTTCTTCATTTTGGCACTGTTCTAGAAACTGGAGACACAGCTTCAGGACTAGCAAGATCCATCCCCTCTCATGAAGCACACATGCTGGTCAGAAAACTAAAAGGTAAATGAGTAAGTAAACAAAAAAGGTTATTTCCACCAGTAAATGTGTTACATCAAAGAAACAAGATAGGATAATGTGACACCATGTGCTTGGGGTGGAAGTGGGGGGATGAAGCAACACAGTGCAACTCTCCCTGGATGTGATACTTGAGTTGAACCTTGGATGATGGGGTGAGGGGTGTGAAGACCCTGGTCAAAAAGCAGAGGCATGCAGGCCTAGAGGTAGGAGTTAAAGACTGGCACAGAGGGAGGGTTTAAACTGCTTTGCTACTTGCTAGCTGTGTGACCTGGCCGGATCATGTAACTGCTCTGAGCTGCTGTTTTGCTATCTACAAATTAAGCCAGTTAATAGTGTCTTCCTATGTATCTTTATGCAAACAAGTGTATATAAAGCACATGGAACAAGGGCTCATTAGGAATAAGTGATCAGCAATGACAACTGTGGTAATGCTGACTGATGGTAAAAAAAAGCTCCTTCCCTGTATGTGATTGGGCTAATGCACATTTTTAGCACTTGCGTTTATAGTGACATAAGGAACACATTATACCTGTAAAATAATCATATCTGGCCGATACTGTTTCCGTAGTCCCATGTCAAACATCAGAAACTTGAGCATTTTAAACGCTTCTTCCTCACTCATATGAAGTAGCAGGATGCCTGCCACAAAGCTGAGACCTTGGCAATATCCTACTTCCTGGTCAAGGAGTGAGTAGGCCTTCAGAATGTTGTAAAGGGACAGCTGTCCTGCTCCAAGCTGGGCAGAGAAGTATGGATGAGTAGGAAAGGTTCGCCCTGGAAAAAGAATACGGGCAAGTTGTAAGAAAAAAGAAAGCCCACTGAACCGGAGATGCAATGTGCTTCAGGTTAAAATAACAGGATATTTGGAAGCTGGATCGGAACATAAATCAGCCTCTAATACCTTGATACTGCCTCTGCTCTCTAAATGAGGGCAGCTGTTTGTTCCTGGAATGCTTGCAATTAGAAATCAGCAATTAATCACAGTCCTTTGATGGTGGTTCAGGTGAAAGAAATTAGAGCTACCTTTGGTCCTGCAAATATGTGGCCCTCAATCTAAAGCAAAACAAAAAAAATGGTTACGCTTCTAATACAACCTCTATTCTCTCAAAGAATGCAAAAGCTGTTGTTTCCTGACCTCCAGCCTCTCCTGCAAATGCTGCCAAAGGGCCTGGCCTGCTACAGATCCTCCCAGTCAGTTTCTCCAGACTGCACAGACCCTGCTGGCAACTGCTTCTCTCCACATGGACATTTCTGCACTTTGAAGCTCTAGTCAGTGCTCTCAAACAGGCTGAGGGACAGCAAGTGTTTCCTTTACACAACCCAGTTACCTTCCAGAAAGGCTTAAAAGAAGCCTCAAAATCTTGATCATTTTCAAAGAACATTGGTATTCAAATAAAGCTTAAAGACTTTTCTTTTTGGTCCAGGGGACTTTTGTGGCTGATAGCTGTCAAGGACCCTTGCCCTCCTTCTGGAAGGTGAAGATGAAGAAGTGGATTCCCAAGGGTTCAGAGAAGTGATGCAGTGACCTAGCTTGGACTCAGATGGGAATGATGGGCCTAGCTGGTCAACAAAGGCAGCAGGTTCATCTGTACCACATGTAAATTGTCCACTGTAGTAACGCGGTCTCAGCTGAGAGGAGGCTACATTCACTTGCTCTTCCCCAGCTTCCTGAGAAAGCATTTGCTCTATCCTGATGGGCTTGTCTGGACTTAATATGAGAGGATGGCAACAGGCTCCTGCTTTTCTGTATCCATTTACTTCTTGCCTGCTCTAGCTTATCCCACAACAAATCTTCCCCGACACTCCCTGAATTTGACACCCACTTCTAGGAAGCAAATCAACAGCTCCCCAGTGCTCACAAAACAAACACTCCACCCTCTTCTCAGCCTCGGTTTCTGCACATTCAACCCCCCCACCTGCCCTCCCAGCTTTGTCCTCAACCCCAGGGAATAACCCTGGCCTAGGAGTGGGGGCTCCCAGGGTTTCTGAACCTGTATGGGTTGTGTGCAGCACCCAGTGTGCAAATGGAGCAGAGATGGTCACGCCTGTGCATTTGTCTAGTTTAGAGCAGTAGATGTAACCAAAGTGTAATTCAAGCTATAAATGGAACTGAACATTTCTTAGTAGCCACATGAAAACAGGTGAAATTAATTTTAATAAGACTTTTAATTCATATAAGCATTATTTCAACATGCCATCATTATAAAAGTTGAGCCATTTTGCCTTTTTTGGGTCTTTAAAATCCATGTATTTTTTTATACTGACAGGACACCTCAATTTGGACCCACTATATTTTAAGGGTTCAACAGCCACTTGCGGCATCCGTACTACATAGCACAAGTGTATTGCTTCCCTCAGATTCTCAAAACCATCTAAAATTCCTTTCACTCCACTACTCCACTAGCTCCCAGGCCAATGGAGCCCTTTCTGCCTCGGGAGTCTGCTCAGGTCCTTGTCCAGAAGGCATGCCCTTCTCCACGGGTCTCAAACACATGCTGGAGGGAGAGGCCACAGGAGTCACGTGACACAGGAGAATGCCAGGAAAGGGACCGCTGTTTGGGTTTGTTATCTCAAATTTACGCAGCCAATGGGATCCTTTCCACTATTCAGACACCCTCTCAGGGTAGATACAACCCTCACAGAAGGCAGAGCACACACCAAGTGGCCCTGTGGGAGGAGGGCCTTGCTCACTTTACCCTCACACCACGGCCTGGCCTGGCCTGGCCAGTGGTGAGGACAGTGTGCTAATCTGGCCACTCAAGTGTCAGATGTGGGGGAAGAGCCAGCTTCATGGCTGCATGTCTTGTGCAGTCAGGCCAGCTCTGTGTTTGGAAAGGTTTCATGGAGTGTTTAATGCTCTGCTGTCACTACCTTGGAATTCCTAATTTTTGAACAAGGACTTCTCCATTTTCATTTTACAATAGGCCCTGCAAATTATGCACCCTATCTGGGAGATGAACCTGCAGAGGTAGCTCCAGCCACCTTCCACAGCCTTGCTCCCAGTGGTATATCATATGAAAACAAAGCAAACCTTAGGCCAAATTCTGCTGAACACATGACTTTCATTATTCACAAGCTGACAGGAAAGAGTCACACAGAGCTTCTCATGGGCTCTGTCCTCAGAGTCTGACAATCACTTCTTGGGAAAGGTTCAGGTGGATGAAGGCACTGTGGAATCTGCCAGCCAGGCTACCCACGGTCCAGTCAGCTTGATGCTCCACAGAGCATGGGGTCACGGGGCTGACAGGCACAGGCCTCGAGTTCTGCATCAGTCACTGGTGGCAGGGCCTGGATGCCTTGCTAACCAACCACAGATCTTGAACATCAGACATTTCACCAATAAAGAATTACATTTAGTATCCTTTATACAGAGGTCAACCTTCTGACGGGCATTTTGATGACATTTCTACCACCATCTGTGCAGGTGCAGCTCTGAATAAACATTAGTCCTCTGAACCTTGGTTTCCTTTCCTTTCAAATGGGCAGAAGGCTTGTTTGGCAGAACTGGGTGCACATGGGCAATGCCTGACTGGAATGGCTGCTTTGAAGGTCAATCACAGGCAACGGTCTGCAGCTACACCAGACACTCTCAAACAGCGTCCATCCAAGACAGAGAAAAGGGGGCATATATATGACAGTTCTGCAGCACCAGTGCAAAATAAATTATATTTAACATAAAAGCACAGCATTAGTTTATTAACTATAATGTTCCACAGGGCCTGAAAATCTTACTTTCTAATAGACTTCCAGAGGCAAAAGAAAGTTTCACCTCAGCAACTGACTTTTATAAAATTTGGAATTCACAAACTTGTAGAACTGAAAACTGGTACAAATCCCTAATCACTGTCATCACCACCACCGCCTTTCAGATTCACCAAACACCTGTGAACCCCAAGCTTTCCCATCTGTAGTTACTACTCAAAAGAGCTAAGTCATCTCTGCCAAGGAGTTGCAGAAACAGTAACTGATTTTATTTATGCCAGAAACCTGTCCCGCACAAGCCTGGCCAAGCTGAAACAAATTTTTCAGTGTGTTCAATGGTGATTTCCAAACGCAATGTCCTGTTCCAAACAGGGCGGTACTTGGGGCAGCAGACAGGAACCCTAGTCCTCCCCAGGTCGGGAGGAGGCCAAGCATCTGGCCTTTGGCTCCTAACTGGCGGGAGAACGACCACCAGCCTGGCTTTGCAGTTCAGTCCATGCTGCACAATGAATTTTATTCCTGGATTCCTTTCTTTTAGCTCAATCGTTCTCAATCATGGTCAGTCGCAGGACCTGGGAGAGATCCTAAGGCCCTTTCCGGGGTCCATGAAGCCCCTTCCCCTTTCAACTACAGATCTGTACAGAGTCAGCCTTTAGCTTTGTATGTCAAATAAATAACCCAACAGACCGAATGAACCCAATATGATGTCAGGTGATTCTATTAAATCACACATTAAAGAGCTGTTTTTTTTTTTAATGTCACTTCTCTCTTTTATTGGAAAATGGTTTTTTTCATAATAGGTTTATCTGAATGAGTTTATATTTGTTTAAATGTGTATTTTTGTCAGTTTTATTTTCTATGTGGTAAATAATAATAGACACTATCAAGGTAAACAAAACCTTGTTGGGCCAATCAATGACTTTAAAGGTGAAAGAGATCCTGAGATCAGATCTGGGTAAACTCCACAACTTACCTCCTTCCTTTCCTGACTACACACCAAGGAAAGAGAAGGAAGCAGGTGACACAGGAAGAGAATGGATTATGTGGATCAAAAATGTTCCCTGAACAACCCATATCCGTATAACCCAATGTGGTGCTACAGCCCTCTATCCCGGAAGGCATTAAACTAGCACTGAGAAGAAAAAAATGGATTTCCTACAGGCCACACCCAAGACAGTCACCTGCAGTGGGGCCTGGGGCCCTACACGGTGCACATCTGAGGACATGGCCAGCCCCCTACACTTCACTGCTCACTCCAAGCATGATGATTATGGGCGAAACACTGTCTGCTGTATGCTCAACATTTATGAAAAGATCTTATCTGAGTCTCCGACTCAAGTCTGTAGTCTCAGCTGTAGAAGCCATCACCCCGCTTCCCCAGCAGCACATTGGCTCTGGAAGGCTCCAGCTTAGGGAAATAGACCTCATTTCTGCCAGCCGAGAGGAAAACTGGATAAAAACTGTAGAGTCCCTCCTACAAATGTACTGAAATGAGGCACCTGCCTTCAACTGTATTTTACAGTTTACCACAAAGTAGAGAAGTGCAGTTCCTTTCAATTTCTGGCTAAAGCAGAGTCTACCTTCACAGACAAAACCAGGATGAGATTGTAAAGTGGAGAGTGGCAAACAAGGGCACAAAGAAATACCCTTAATTATATTAAATCAAATTTAACAATGTTGCATCTCATGTATCTAAGTGGAGAACCATGCTGGAAGTTCTGACAAGGTGACCCACATTTCTAAGTGACCCAGAACTTAATTTTTAGTAAGTGTTCCTAAGGAATGCCACTCATCTGAGGGATGTCTTTCCAGGATGGATCCTTTCCTTTCCCATCACTTGTTGAAAAAAAGCCTCATCCTGCGGTTCTCACAGGAGTCACATCAGGTCACCTGGTGGTTTGTTAATTAAACCTGTATCCCAAAGGCTGGCCACTTGGCTGGATCAGGCAGGCAGGGATGGTGGCCTCAGGAATGTGTTTATAAGCTCCTCAAAAGACCCTCAGGTGGTTCCAGCCCCACTGGTGAGAAACTGTACCCAATCTTAGAGTATGTCCTGCCTTATTCTAAGCAGAGCCCACCTGGCTTCATCTTGGCCAAGATCTCTAGTCGGCTTGGCACTGTCAACTACACTGCGGCTGCTGCAGAAATGGGCTGCCTGCAAAGACATTCAGTCTGGCAGAGGCTCTGAAAAGCTAACAAGCTTCTTTCTTTTGCTCCTTTCCCCAGGAGCCTGGAGATTCCTGCATCTCTACTGGAAACCAGCAATCCTACCCTGACTCTAACTCCTGCACCAGGTTCCTCACTTGCAGAAGGAAGAACAGCCCACAAGCAGGTGATCTGCAAGATTCCTTCCAGGATGAGGGTGTATCATTCTAAAATCTTTTGCATTTGGCTCTGAGCAGGATTTGAAAGAATGACTGGAGGGGAAAGAAACACCCTTTGAGTCACTCTTCAGATTGACTGCCTTTCCACGAGAATGTGTGCTTTCTAAAGTACCAGTGGAATCACCCTTAAGGTCACAGTTGAGATAAGAAGAGAGCACTCTTCTCTGAGCCATTTATTTCTAGGAAACATCTGACTAAGTCCACTGACTCCTGAGGCTCTGTGTACATCTGTGCTCACCTCTGCCATTCATGACTTCAATTCCAGTATCTGAAAACTGACGATGATGGAGTCTTGACTCCGAGGAAATCTGCACACAGTAAACACCAAGGCTTCTGAGGGGGCTGGAGGAGCCAGTTGTTAAACATGCACCTGCACACCACCGAGTGGCTCAAAGGATGCAAGAGGATTTCATTTTCCTCTTTCCTTTTATCAACCTGAACTTAGTTCTATCATTCTGAGGTGACAGGGGCACACTTAAAATGATCAAACCAAGATGATTTCACAATGTGACCTTGATAATATCAGAAAACACTGGCAGACCCTCTGGAATAAGGTGTGGCCACTGGTGCAGGAGTGTATTAGACTTTGGAAATGTTGTTCAAGTGGTCTCCTTAGAACAGAGTCCCAAACCAGACAGACTGGTTATTGCCTAACAAGGTGCTGCATGATAAATTCTAGGCACTTTTATGTCTTTCAACATCAAGGTATTTAGTTTCTCACACTGGACTTCAACCCAAAGATGAAAGAGAGAGCAGTGTTCCCCCCAACCCCTTTAACAGGGGGCAGGCACCTCCCTCACAATGCCCAGCACCCAGCTGTGTACCTAGGCCAATGAGTCCGCCACCAGCCTGGCAAGGAGAAGTAAACTTTCAGCTGGTTCCTTCATTTTGGAGGCTCTTCTACCCTTTGTCTTTTATGGATTTTAAAAGAGCAAGGAGAATGTTCTGCTCCTTGACACTTAGATTAGTTTCTTTTCTTTTAGACACTTGGCAGCTGTGAAACTTTTGGTTAAAATACATTAAGAGGAAGTAAAAATCCATATGACAGCTCTCAGACTGGATCTCTAACCCAAATAGATCCCCTGGATGTGGTTTTGCCATTCATGCAGCATGAGACCTATGAGTAAAATGCAGCAATACTGATACTGTAACAGTATTTCAACCTGCCTCAACCTGTGTGTGTGTGTGCTGTGAAGACAGGCAATTAATAAGCACACATGTTAAGTTTTCTCATGTAATTATTAAACTTGGACTTTTTGAGTTGTTTCATAAAACAATGAAAATATTTTTTAGCAGCAGTAATACAGAAACTGCAAAAATGTATCAAATAGTTTTTTTGAGTTTTTTTGTTTTTTTTTTGAGACAGGGTCTTGATGTGTAGTTCAGACTGCCCTTGAACTCACTATGTAGCCTAGGCTGGTCTCGAACTCGAAGCCATATTCCTGCCTCAGCCTCCTGAGTGCTGGGATTACAGGCATGCACACCATGCCCAGCTTGATGTACGAAATAGTTGTTTGCTCATGATACTGTTACACAGACAATATTGTTAATACTAGAAAGAATAAATGGTTGCCTATTTATTATTTTGGAATGTACAGAACTGCAATCAGACATTCAACTCAAAGAAAAATTTAAACATGTCTCTACTAGATTTTTATAAGACTTGTCTTCCCAGAGAAAAATATCCTTAGAGTCACAACCAGGCCTTACTTATGTCACTACTTTTTGGCAGTAAATTTGTGAACAACTATTTTCAGGGATGAAGCAGATGAAGAGTGAATGAGATCAAACGTTTCTAACAAGCACCTTGAGAACTACGACTCGCAATCACTTCCACTGAGCCAGACACTGATGCATTAGCTTCGTCACAAAAACAAGGTCAAATGTCTCACTAGTTTTATGTTGTCCTTTTTTAAATGTTATAATAAAAGTATTAAAAAAGACATTTTGTAACTTATTCATTAACTGTATTTTCTATCTGGCCCAACACAATTCCTCTTTACTTAATGCAGCCCAGACAAGTCGAAAGACTGGACACTCATGGTACAGATGAAATGGGAAGTGTAGACTAACCACTGGCTTGGTGCTGGCCTCGGCGAGAGGGGGAAAGAATGGGCCCAGTCTGGAGGTGTCCACATCAGGTCTTCCTGAACCCTGCCGGCAGGCAGACACCTGGGACTCTGTCCCCAGCTCTGGGCCAACATCCAGATTTCCCAGTTGAATGGGCAGAGGAGTGACCCCAGGAGAGTTTCCATAAACCCTGGGGAGACTCAGGGAGGTGGCTTGGGAAAAAGAGGTTCTTTCAGGGCTTGGGAGGGTGTTGGGATGGCATCAAAAAGGGAGGCCAGGTCAGAACTGAGCAGGAGGTGGGGTCAGCACTGTCAGTTTGGGGAGCTGCAGCTGGCCTCCAGGGTGCAGAAGGAACAGAGCAGGGATGGGCAGAGAAAAGAGGATGCAGTCCAGCCTTGCCTGTGACTTAGGGGCCTCTGACAGCAGAGGAGGCTGCCTGTGGTACAGCCCTGAGGACACAGCTCCTAGGAGACACAGGGTGGGAGGGGCCCTGGAGCTGATCTGGCCTTTCTCCCACTGCAGAAAGGGGACTGTATCTGCGCCACAGGAGGCAGAGGGCTGGTTCTGCTGGGAGGACAAGGGGCTTACTGAAGGGAAATTAAGAGAAGACAACATTGGAACCAAGAAGGGGATCATGTTTCCAACTCCTTTCCTACAAAGAACTTCTACACTCCCTCCCTTTCAACCTCCTGCCCTAAATTTATTTTTCACTTCATATCACATGATAGGAACACGTCATTTTTTCTGTTACTCATCACATTAGCAAACACAGTTACCACCAATTCACCAAACTGCTGTCCTCAGGGTCAGTGGGACCGATGGACTCTGACCCTACCAGGGCCCGTCGTGCCTCTCTCAGCACACCCTTCACCTGGCCAGCCATTTCCATAGTGATGCAGCCCTCTGGGCTCAGGGGCCTTGGGACAGCAGGGCCTCACTCTGGCACAGTGTGATGGTGGATTTAGGTGCTGGCACCTCTGCTCAGATGGCTGAGGGACTGTGGTCCACACGTGACTTCTCTGTGCCTCAGTGACCTTATCTTGTACACGATACGGGGCCAGCTTTCCAGGGCTGTTGTGAGGGTCGCTGGAGGTTGCAGCACTGTGCAGTGCCACATAGTCAACCCCTCAAGAAGACTTACTGTGTACCTACTATGTGACAGCACTACCCCAGGGGCTGAAGGTGTAGTGGTGAAATGGCCTTGTCCAACCCCAAAAGGCTGCCTGGCACTGGCGGAAGGGCGAAAGGGGAGGGAGGCTCTGAGTTCACACGGCTCAGCAGCAGATTGGCTGTTTCATTTTGAGCAGATTACTTAAGCTGTTTTAATTTTCTCAATATAATATCCCTATGATAGTGTTGTGAGGATTAATAAAAGCAGATCAAATACTGTTGTGAAAATTAACAAAAGCAAATCAAGAAAATTTTACACAACATTCAGCAGAAGCAAAATTGAGAACCAGCTTTAAAGAGTAACAAATCTGACAAATGCCATGGGGAGAGAGCATGGGGTGGGATGGGGGACTTGGCAGAGACAACTAACCTAGTCTGGTGTGGAAGATGAGACTACAGTCAGAGACAGTTCCTCGAAGATGACATCTAGGCTCAGACCCTGAGAGTACTTCGAGGGTTATGAAACCATAAGACTGCTGTGTGGTTTGAAGAACAAAGCCTGGCCGTGCCTGACCCAGCTCGCTGTCACCTCCACTGGGGCCTTTGTGTATCTCAATCACATCTCAGTTCAGTGAGTCCTTCACCGTGACAACTGCACATGTCTCCAATACACTGCTCACAGCCTCATGTTTCCAAAACTGTCAGGAGACAAGGTGTTGCTTCTTTCAAAAATAAAATTGCCTCAGGCACTCACACAGCTTTCTACAATGTTCCTGATGAATTCTGTCCCTGAGCAGTGAAGACAGAGGAATGGTCCCCATAATTCAACCAAGCTATCTGTTTCCTAGGATGGTCCTCTGGCCGACTATAAAAACGTCCTACGGATATCTAAATTACTGAACTGAATCAGTTATGGCTTAACGAACATCCCATGCCAACCAGAGTGAGCCAGCTGCCCAGTGAAAACAGGTTTTTATATACTCGAGGAAGACATTTGTGATGACTCCAGGGCTTTTAAAATTAAAAGTCTCAGTAGTAAATTCTGATTGCTAAACCTAAAGGTAGATCAATAAGTAACCTGGACAGTCTCTTCAGATTTCTCAAGTGAGGGAAACCTCCATTTCCATCTCCAGTCGACGGCACAGACTCACCCAGGTCGATGAGAATTGCGTGCTGCTGGGAGGTGAGCTGTTTTAAGAGTTCTTTGTAGGACACATCCTTTGGCTGCTGCTTACTGGGAAATGGGTGTCTCAGGTGGAACTGCTCAGCCAGAAATTTCCAGATTTCACCCCGGTGATGACGTGGCACGCCTTTAAGGAGAAGGTGAAAAACACAAACACAGACTTTATGCATAGAATTCGACTGAATACAGTTAATAAAAATGAAAGAATGGAAAGAAGCCCAAACTTGTCACTCTGTCCCTTCCTCTCTACCACAGCCCCATTTTGTCCTGGTTTCCCTTGCCCTATTCCTACCTTTCAAAGATATATTCTAAGACTTTGCAAGGGGTAAACTGAGGAACATAACTTAGCCTTCACCTGGTACCAATTAAAAACATTTTAGCAAAGTAAGAGCAGGCATGCAGAAAGAGCAGACTGTGATCTCACAGCAGGAGACCTGCAGTGCGGCAGGGCCCAGGTGAGAAGAGCTGGCTCGCCTCCACCTGAGCAGGCCGAGGCCACAGACCCGAGCACTCAGGCCAGCCTCAAGGCTGAAGGGAGAGGAGGAAAATGAACCGGAAACAGGGAACCCCAAGTGTTTCAGTTCACCTCAGGCACTTCTCAGAGGTACTTTAGGTATAGTAAGTACTTGTTTCCTCCCCTCTTATCCACTTAAAGAAAAAACGAAGTGGACCCCAAGCTACGTAACCACAACCCAGGCCACCTCTGAACACTTGAAGGAGCACTAATCTGATGATCCCGTGCAGTGTGTCGAGTGGTGGTCCTCCCAAAAGGATATATTCAATTCCTAGTGCCTGGAGCCTGTGAATGTTATTTCCTTTGGACAAAGGGTCTTTGTGGAAGTAAGTAAGGATTCCGAGACGAGGTGAGTCCTGGGTTACAGGTGGACCTCATATTCAGTGATGAAGTGTCCTTGCAACAGACACTCAGAGGAAGGAAGCAGCATGACCATGGGAGCAGAGACGGAGGCACAGCTGCAAGCCAAGGAAGGCGACAGCTAGCAAAGCAGAAGAGGCCAAGTGCAGCTCAACCGACTCCTTGACTCTGGGCTTCCAGAACTGAGAGGGAAACTTTTGGTATTTCAGCCGTGTTGCTGTAACTTGTTAACAAAATGGTAGCAACAGGAAATGACTAGGTCCTATCTGCTTTTTTGTATTATTCTGTTTCTTCTTCCCTACCATTCCTTCAGAGATGTGTCTTGGCTGCTCACACTTGGGGATGCACAACTCCTAATACTCTGAACCCTAACTAAAAGCAAATGTGAACTGAAAGACAGTCGGCACACCAACTGATTTGTAGTGGGGTTTTTTGAACAGAATGTTTTTGGCAAACTGGAAAACTTTCCCCAAGTTATGAAGCGTCCAGTTTCCTCTTATTACTAAATCATTCCCAATATCTTATCAGAACTTTATTTTCTGGAGGAAGAGAATCCTGGCTGTGTCACTGGTGAGCACTAGGTATTTTGGGATTCGTGAGTAAGCTTCAAGTCTGTGATTGAAAGCCAAAGGTCTTGTGAGCCAGACACACGTTTCTTGCTAGGAATAGCCCAGAACACCTTTGCAAGCCCCCATTTTGCTCTTCCTCTAAACTGAGAGAGAACCCTGGTGGTGGAGCCTCCACAGCCCTCAGGTGGGTTCTGGCAGGCAGGAGACAGATGATTGCTCCAGCCCCGGGGCAAATAACTTTCTATTTTTACTGATTTGAAAAATAGTATTTATTTACTATTTAAAAGCAAAACAAGAACAAGAACAAAAACCAGAATAATCCTCTGAAAAATTCAAATCATATAAAGAAGAAAGTGAAAATTCACCTATACCTACCTAGAATAGACATAATTTACCTCTAAAACAGAAAACTTTAGAAAGGGAAGAGGAGAGGGGATAATATTTTATCAGACAAGAGCTGAAAATTAGGGCCACGTCAGGTGAACTGGGAGGTATGATCATGTCACCTATAACCCAGATATCTGAAAATATCCAGTATTTCCTGGATGTTTTCTTTGTTTTGGTTTGGGTTACTAACACCACAATAAGCGTTCTTCCACCTGCAGTACATTTTGTGTTCATTAATTTCTAGAATAAGCTTCTATAAATCTCATTGCTGGATCAGAAAAGCAGAGTTTACAACTGGCCCACATCACTCTTGTCACTCTGCAATTCCATTCCTAGAAAAAAATATGAGGCTTATTAGGGTCTAGACCTAGATGTCTTTAGAGAAATCACTTTGACTCAAACTCCATTCTGAATTACCTAATTAGAATTATTCTTCCTTCTCCCAACTTGACTCTTTAATACTGCCACTCCCATCTAATCTTAACCTGCTAAGTTTTATAAATCTCTTTATGTCACTTGGGGCTGTAGATCATCAAGGGGCAAGGCCTCATCACCCACACAGGACTGTCCTCTCTTCCAAGGTCTCTGAGGTGACATAGCTGTTCTGCTTGGATCTCATGTTTTAAATCTGAGCCATAAGATGGAAGTGGTCATCTGTTCAGAGCGTTTCAGCCCCTTGAAGTGCTGAAGCCAGATGATGCAGAGAGGTCCTTTGACTGTTTCCGACTGAGGTCCTGCAGCAAAGCCAGAGGATGGAGAGAGGGGACCCAGGAGGAATTCCAGGTCAGCCTCACCCCAGTACACAAGCCGTGCAATCATCCATGTCTGACGGCAACACACAGCACCCAGATTCCTGAGGTGCTATTTGTCCCCCTCATAAAATGCACAATGAGAAACAAATGTCCAGGTGTCTGGCCCCCGAGAAGCTCAAACATTTGCAACAGCTGTCACAGAACATGCAAGGCCCTCTGTAGAAGCAAAGCCACCAAAGGCCATCATTTATTCAACCGGAACAGGGAAAGAGCAGACACATTCCTCTTCCTGCTTTCTTTTTCGTAACAGCCAACTCGGGCCATCTGGTGTAGGGCTGAGTCTCCAGCAGCCACTATGGGGGTGAAGAATGTCACAACTGCCACATAGCCCTCCGACCTCTGCTTGAGCCAAGCCTCTCGTGGTGGTAGTGAGGAAGCAGGAGCCCAAGGTGGGACTGGAAGCTGCCGGCAACTCAGAAGCCCAGTCTTCATCGTTGCACACATTTCTGGTTTCTGAGCATAACCCTTGGAGGTGCGATTCTACCAGAGGCTGTGCACTGTGATGCTCAGAACCTGGGCGGCCTGCAGTGAGCCCAGCTCTGTGGCCCGAGCCCATTATCAACCACTCTGAGTCCATGGGTCCTTATTCATGTCACAGGGAAGTCACAGCGAGCAGTAACCACCCATTATCACTAAAGTGGATGCTGTCACAACTCAAGGTAAAAGGTTTTAAAGTGCCTAGAACATCATGGGAGGAGAACTGCTTTGCTTCATTAACTCTCTCAGAGATAAATAACATTTATACCTGTATAATACTCTTTCTCTGCAGAGTGATAAAGTCAGAAGGGAACCATATATCTATATATACATTTGCAACCCTTATTCCAAATAGCTGGTTATTCAGGACTGGATTAACCAGAACTTAGCACTAGAAGCAGATTAAACTCAGAAGGCTCTTACTCTTACCAGCAGATGCTAATAAACATTTTAAAAGAAATCATCGTTTTTATGTGAACACTGGTGCTTCTAAAAACTTACCTGTGAAGGATCAGTTTTTCATTTCAAAAAAATTTCCAAATCTACTGAATACTGATGTTTTCATAATATACAGGAAAAATGAATTAGGATAAAAAGGAAACAAGAGAGACAGAATGACAAAATGTCAGTCCACATTTTTTATGAGGCCCACTGTGTCAGATTGCTGGAAGCATTTCCAAATGCTCAGTCTCAAGTTCTGTCCTCCCCTGTGCCTGGACCAGCAGCAGCTGGGACTGGCAGATCATACTAAGAAGCCATGTCGTGCACGAGCGGGTGTCAGCTCCTTCCTCCTCACCACTGCTGTCTATCACCCGTAGACAGCAGGGCTCAGAGGTAGAGTCTTTGCCTAATATCATGCTGAAAAGTGAGCAGCATGCCAGGATCTGAGCCCAGAACCACCTGGGCTCTGCACTCTGTTTTCTCCCTAGAGTCTTCAGAGAGAAGCCACACGATTAGTCTTTAGTTTACTACTTGACTCAGACTAAATCATCCCATCATTATTCATTTTGTGGGCATTTAAGCCACTGGGTTTTCCTCTCTTGTTTTCCTATGTCCTGGTTTTCTGGGCATTTAATTTAATTAGGAAGATTATGAAAGGTAGTGAAGCTTACATCAACTAACTATATCTGGCAAGAGAGTAGGTAAAGGTGTGATGAAATGGAGCAAGGTGGCCACTTTGTAAAAGCAGACTTAAAATATCTTCACTCCACCTCTCCCAGTCATCAAAGAAGGTACAGTTGGCTGGGGGCATTCCTGATAAAGCTTACCTTGCCCAACAGCTGAGTGCATTTTTTCCATATCAAACTTAATTTTTGATCTTCCTGGAGTTATAAGCATCTTTTCCCACACTGAAGTTACTTCTTTAAGACAAGGAGTGATTTCTTCATAATCAAGTTTCAGGCGCTTGTTCAGCAAATCATTCTCAGAGGCTGAAAGAGACGACATAAGTGCATATTACTGTACAACACAGCTACAGGTCACGATACCCAACATAATGACTGCTACTGAGATGTGCAGCAGATCCAGCCAGCGGAGCAAGTAAAAGTCACCATTTCCTTTCACAGAAATGCTAAAAATCTAGGAAGTTCTTTTATTTCATCTGTAATGTTGTCTCCACTCTAAGATATATGCCACATCTGTCCAATTCTTTCCAACTCTTTGATAGCTACCCTATCAAACCACAGACATCTAAAAGGCAAATGCTAGGTATTATAATTCCCAGTGCTTGGCATCATTAGAGCTCAGCAAATATTTTTCATCTCAGCTAGGAGAGGCACTCTGAAGCATAGCTCCTCCTTATTTAGAGCCAGATATCCTTTCCGTAGTGTCTCCTGTGGGTCATGTTTCTGCTTCCTGGAGCTACATAGACTAAATCTACCCCTTTCATACAACAACTCCTCATATATATGAAGATAGCTATTGTGTCCCACCAAACTTACTCAGCCTAAAGCTGCAGAGAAGCTTACATTAGAACTACATTATCAAACTGGAAGAGAAATCAATAAAGGAAAACCTTAAATTGACATTTTAAATTGATTCTCCAGTCCAATCTCTCACTTCAGGGATACAGAAGCTAAAGTTCAGAGAGATTAACATGTTCACGACAGAGCTTTAATTCATGTTTTGCTGCTGGTAGCTTGAACCACACCAATGGTACATGCATGCCTGTCCCATCGGGTGGCATGGAACAGTCCTACTAGGTGGTACAAGCTGCCCGTTGGGACAGGCATGCATTTTCCATCGGTGGTTCAAGCTGGCAGGAAGCTGTTAAGTGATTTGCCCAGGGTTGTTTAGTAGCCACTAGGCAGCTGGGTGATTCTAGGCCTTGCAATGCCTTCCTCTTGCCTTTTAGGGTTTTTCATCTACCATCTTTATTCTTTTCCCTCTTCCGTTGAAGAATATTTTCTTAGGACCTGTCCCTAAATCTCTGGCATTAACAGTTTTTAAAATATTAACCTTTTGGTTGTTTTGGTTATGAGAAGATACAATAAACATCAGGAGAGCTGAGCTCATGCTTACAGAAAGTCAGGCTGGGATGAGCTGTGCTACAGTGGCTGGAACTCACACTGGTCCTGATGCCAGTGCAGTTTCTCTGGCAGTAAATTCTTCTGTGAGCACGCCTGACTACCCTCTTACAGCCAGCAAACAACTCGAGGTACTTGCTCTGGAGTCCACAGAACTGCACATGGCCAGAAGACTCAGTTGCAAACCCATGTATTTTGCTGTTGGTCCAAACAACATCCTCTGCTTCAGGAACCTGACAAGACTGTGGCCTAAAATTAGCGGCCTCCAAAATGTCTTATCAGCCCAGGCAGCTGGTGCAAACCTGCAACAAACAGCAGGGGTCCTGCGGAGTGACTTCAGACACAGGACCCAGCTGCTTACAATATTAAACAGGAGCCCACACGTCCATGCTGTCTTTGAGCACAGGGCATGGATCATGCATGTCAGTGCTGATCTGGACTCTGTGATCGATGCTCAGCTCTGACTGTGTGGGGCAGGCTGTCACTGTGCTGTTCCCAGTTCTGCTCTGTTAATTGGCAACTGTTTTCGCTGACAGACTCTCTTGGGCCAGCTGCCACCATCTCTCCAAAGCTTAGAAACAGAAAACTAAGAGGGTCAACATTTAAATGACCCTCATACTTACAGAGGTCTTAGGCAAAGTACACTCAGCATTTAATTTTTTAAACCACAAATGTATTATTTAAGGGAAAAGTTTTGTAAATTAAAATGTCATCAGCTACAATTCAAAATTTAATGTTACTGCACTCTTATGGAATAACACTTGGAACATTTTAATGCTAATCATAAAATATTGAGTTTCATAAGTTAGTCTGATAAGCAAGAATATGCTGACCCCAAATGATAGTTTTATTGAATCACACCTTGCTGTCCTGTATTAGGCTGCTCACATTTTTATTTAAAAATAGTAAGAAAGTGACCTTGCAGAGAGGAACAGCAGAGGATTGCTAGCTTGGGAGAGAGGTGATGCATTTTATTAACATCACTGCAAAGTAGCTGTGTAACTTTGGGAAAAATCACAACTTCAGCTACCAAGTGTCTACAATAGAGTAAGGTAGATTTAAATGATGTAGTTTGGTTCTTTCCAGGATGCAGTGCCTCCAGAAGAGTAATAAATATTTGATCCATATATATGAAAGTAAGGAAATAGGGTTAACCAGAAAAAGAAGTTTTTCATGCATGTTCCTCCTCTAATTTTTCTCCTAAAGACTATGCAAGCTAGCTCGAACACTTAACTAATTGCAAAACCCACCTCCAGCTGCAATCTAACCTTCTTTTAAGAAGGAAAGGAGCAAAATAACAGCATCACAGGATGACTATGTCTCTAACACCTGACATTTGATTGGTTCTTGTCAAAACTTGTTATTTAATGAGAAAGTTCTACCCTGTCCATTATAAAACTTATTAATATTCTATCATTAAGTAATGACACTGTTACTATTGATTATTCTCAGCAATACAGGAAGTGCACACAATAATACAATGGACGGCTGCTGCTTATATTTAAAAATCTGATCATGCTTTGACCACAGAGATAAACGTGTGTTAAACTACTATATAGAACTAAGAGGAGAAATTAATTTAAACAGTAAAAACAAAAGGCCAAAAGAACTGAACACTGCCAGTAAGTCTAGTGAAGTGAGACAGCAACAGAAAGATGGCGGCAAGGGCTGTGATCTTTATGCAACATCTGGCCAGGCATTCCAGGCAAGCCCGGAAACTCTTACCTGTCTGGTCTGTCTGGTCATCATTTGCACAGTAGCATGTACTTTGCTTTTGTGGCATACTGATCTCAGTTCATCAATTACATTCATAATAGCTAACATCCCCAAGAAGCCAACCAGTGTCATTCCCCTTCTATAGCTACATCCTAGTTTTACATGGCTCTCATTTAAGAAGATTCATGACCCACACGATGAACACGGATGCCTCTTTGCTTTTCAACAGAAACTTCAACCTACATATGAATGTACATTCTATGTACACAGTTATGATTATCAAATATTTTTAGACATCTGCTTTCAAAATTACCTTTGAGAATACATAACAGTAGAAAAATAGAGTTGAAAGTAATCTTAGCATTCATCTGCTCTCAACTCCCCTCATAGTGCCTTCACCTTCCACTGCCCCTTGATGGGATGACCCACCTCTCTCAGCTTTAATGCTGCATCACAGAGAGCATGGTGCATTCAAAAGCACCCTATTCCGCTGTTGGACTACTTTCATATCAAAAGTCTTCACTTCTTTTTGTTCAAAAATGACATACTTGACTAGATCAGATCTGTTCATGTTTCATGAGTCTATATCATTCTCATCTGCAGAAACCACATTCCAAGTACACGGTGTTGTGACTCATGAATACCATGTGGACCTGCACAGAGAACAGTGATTCGATCACTATGCATCAAGATACCAAGTAGGGCCGGGCATGGTGGTGCATGCCTATAATCCCAGCACTTGGGAGGCTGAGGCAGGAGCATCACTGCAAGTTTGAGGCCAGCCTGGGCTATGCAGTGAGTTCAAGGCCAGCCTGAATTACAGAGCCAGACCCTGCTCAAAAACAAACACAAACCCATGTAGGAACAGTAGGTTCCCGTACAACTGGATTTCACAGGATGCCACACATTCTCAGGAGTTTAGTCTTCAGATCTGGCATATTAGCGGCTTTAGTTTTATACAAACAACAAACTCCACATGAAATGACAAAAGCCTGACTGACAATCAAGGCTAATGCTCAGTGAAAAATTCTAATTCTAAATTCTAAAATCGCTCTGGGCAATAGTAGTATGGCTGACTCCTGCTATAACTTCCCTTTAAAAGAGCATGCTCAGACTCTGGTTTCTAAATCTTGATTGCTTTATACCCAGCCAGCTCTCTATCCTTTGGGGCCCATGATTCTTCACAGGTGTGTATACTTCTCTTCTTAAACTACTCTGAAAAGGACATTTGATTGATTTAAGGGTTGGCATGGAAACAGGAAATGAACAAAATCTACACTTTCCAAGTTTGTGTCATATTCTGATGTTGTTTAAAATCAATCAGTACAGGGAGAGCTCCGCCAGTGTTTTTTCAAGTTACCTACAACTCACTGAAAAGGCACAGAATGAGATTACAAACTTTAAGGACTCAAATAGAATGATTTGATACCTAATACTCAGGTAGAAAGATTGTGGCTAAGGACAGAGTAATAAAAAAGAAAACAAAATACAAGAAAAAATACTTTTATAGAAGGTTGGAGCTTAAAAAATTGCAGCCTGGATCTCAAGAAGTTCTAGACACTGTGCTAATGACTATATAGAAATAATTAACATAGTTGACAAAATTATCTTTAAATCTCCACAAAGTGATTAATGTTGACATTACTTTGAAAAAGTAAACAGGTGAGGCTGAGAGATATGTAAGATAATATTCTGATTTTATTTTTTAAGAATGCATTCTTATATTTGATAGATTCACTTCAGAGCCAAGACTGGTTACAAGCCAGCCTGTGCAGCTTCAAACCCACCTTGCAGCTTCTGGTTTTCCTTCTCCATCCTCAGCAGCAGTATCTGCTGTAGAATGGCCTTTCTCCACAGCTCCCGCAACTCCCTCGATGTCCTCTTCTTTTCCTCTGCTACAGAGCCAAAGGGCCCATCTTCACACACAGGCTCCAAAGGAGACCGAGGGGGAAGCTCTCCTATCTCTGAATAATCTGCAGAAAGCAAACAAGGTTCCAAAATGGTCATTTTTCAACAAAATTTTTTTTTACATATTCAAGCATAATGCTAATTCAGCAAATTCTTATTTACATAAAAGACAGTAACATCACCAAATTAGAAATTCATGTGTCAATATGTATTGGAAGAAACTAGGTCTGAGCCATTAACATGAAACAATGGCACATCAGATAGTAAGCAAAAGTTGCAGGGAATGATTAAAGATGCTTACTTTTTAAAGTGTAGCTTTATATCTTCTTCTACAAAAGTTACTTAATAACTGATAATATTAGCATTTTACTAATATTACTATATTACTGATAATATAGTATAACTGATTATATTACTGATAATACTATATCACTGATAATATTACTGATTATTATTACTGATGATAATAGCAAACAATCATACAGAATATCCTATGCAGCAATCTTGGCATGGTGGTGTATGCATGATCATATTCTAAGGGCTACATGGATAATCGTTTATTTAATCCTCACAACCACCCTACGACATGGGTACTATAACTATTCAGTTTTAAAGAAAAGTAACACAGGGAGGTTACATAACTTGCCCTCTATCACACAGCTAGTGAAGAAGCAGAGACACCCCAAAGCAGACTGGCTTCCATGTGCATCTTACTGTGTTACAGGGCTAGGTATTCTCAAAGAAGATTAAAATATATTTAACAGCAACTCCTAACAGTGACCACTGACAGACCCTTTAACAAGTGCTGGGCACTCTTGGAGGTGCTCAGGATTGAATCCAGGGCTTTCGCACTGAGCTATGTCCCAGTCCCCCTCCCACACTTTGTTTTGGAAAAGGGTCGCGCTAAGTCCCCTAGGTTGGACTCAGGCTTGCAATTCTCCTGCCTCAGCCTCCCCAAGACTTGGGATTATAGGTGTGCACCACTATGCCCAGCTATGCCTGTCATTTTACATAAACAGACTTACTTAATCCTGATGACAACCTCCAAAGGTAAATATTAGCCTGGCAAGGAAACTAAGGCTCAAGAAGGCCAAGTGATTTCCTCAAGGTCATACAGCGAATAAACAGATGCACTGGAATTCTAACCTGCATCCACCTAGCTCAGAGGCTCATCTGCTTCCCACAAGACACCACAACCCAAATGTTTCCTATCATCAATTTTTAAATTTCTGAGTATTAGTCTCAATCTCTTTGTAGTTCTAGAGTCTGAACCTGTCTCACCTGCAGCAGCTATGTTCTGGTATGCGCAGTTGTTGTTAACTTACAAATGCCTCAGACGTGTACAGAGAACGCCCGCCTGCGCACTGAGACCCTAGCTATGAAGAGCAGCAGAGGGCCCTGTACAACCTGGCCTCACTGGACATAACATGTTCTTGGGACTTCTGTGTAAACTGAACCTTTGAAAATAAAACCAGTGTCCTAACATGTGCGGTGAAAAAGCCTGCACCTCACAACGCACAAAATACAACCCACAACTGCTTCCAGCTGAGACATCCAACCAATTTCACGATGAGATTAATTTCCAGAACACTCAACAGCATTAACTGTGCACTATGTTTTCTAAAGGTGTATTGGTTTTCCTACTGTGAAGTCCAAGAGAACAAATACAAACACAAAAAGTTTAATTTTTTAAAATGACTTATTCATCTTAACGCCCTTTAAAATTACTGGATTAAAACTACGCTAAGCATCAAATAAGAATGCTTTATGAGCTCTTTAAGCATTTAAAGTCAGAGCTCTAAATTACAGAGCTCCATAGATTATCATTACCATTCCACTACACAGATGAATACAATTCTACTTCCTTAGGGATAAGAAGTAACTAGACAGTTTGCGCATCTTACTAGAGGAAGAATGCTTGTTTAATTTTCAATAAAAATGCAGGAATCAAAACTGTCTATATAGTATCGCTATAGTCCAAGTGTGGCGTAGAGGTCTTCATGTAAAGAACTGGTTCCCAGAGTATGAGGGGTTCATGGCACCCGTGAGAGGCCTTGTGTCACTGGAGTCTGTCTTCAAAAGAGACTGTGGAACCCCGGTCTCTCCTCCTCCTCTCTGCTCCTGTTTAAGATGTGACCAATCCCTGCAACCCCTGCTCCTGCCACTGCTATCTGGTGCTTTCACCAGGGGGCTGAACCAGTGGGAGCACCCTATCTTGGACGTGAACTTCCAAAACTGGGAGCTGAAAAAACCACTTATCTTTAGTAAATTTCATGGCAGTGACACAAAGCTAATAAAATTATCATCTGAATTTTAGAAATATTATTAAAGGCAGCATAGTTGAGTGATTAACAGGGCAAATTCTGGAGCTGGACTACCTGGGTGCGAATTAAAACTCTGCTACTTAGTGATTTTGTGATCTTCTGCAAGTTACTTCATCTAAGCTTCAACTTCCCAACGTGTTGGTGGAAAAAACATTTAATCCTACACAGTGGTATCAGAGACACTGAGTTAATATACAGAATATAAAACACATAGAACAGAGCACAACACACAGCAGTAACACAACACAGGTTAGATCTTATGGTTTGCTATCGTATCATCAACACATTCCCACCAGCCTGAACTGTCAGGGGTACATGCATGACTGTGTCATCAGGCAGCTTGTACCACCAGTGACAGAAGTGGTACAGTCAGGCACTGGACAGCCACGTGTGTACTGCCGGTGGTTCAAGCCACCTGCCAGCGAGACATACAAATTACAGTCCCATTGTGAACATGTTAAGGACGCAGAAAAAAAGAACTGGAAAGAAATAAATCAAAATTGTACCCCACTCAACTAAAAGGCATAAGACAGCCTGAACCTTGTCGTGTCCAGAAGGGCTTCTCATCACTGAGCACACCGCCTGGCACCTAGCAGGTGCTTAATAAATAAATGCAGAACAGAAGAGGTAAGCAGGGGGAGATTTGGACATGTTGTTATTCATTTCCTATAACAAACATTTTTATAATCAAAATTAAAGAAAAATAATGCAAATCTATTCTGATTAAAATCAAAGATTGAAAAGTGTTCTGCAAAGCACACAGAAAACAAATCAAACCCTCCTCTAAAAATGTATAATTAGATTAGTCAGTAATGAATATTACATAGTTTAAATCCTCTTATTTAAAAGGAATTTTAGGTGCTCGCTTCGGCAGCACATATATTAAAAGGAATTTTAGTATTCTTAACAAATCTCATCCTGCAGCTTCAGGACTTCTACCTGAGTTCTCTCCTTTCTTCTTGCATTCTCTTACTACCTCTGCTAGACCAAGCAGCTATGATTAAAGTTCTCTTTATCTCATACTGCAAGTATTTACACTCCTACTGGTGTACAAAGAATTCTTGTTTCCAAACAGTAAACTCTTATGAGATGGCCTGGCTGACCTGGGCAGGCAGGAGACAGAGCGCAGGGACGAGCGCAGCTTTTCAATGTGCTTTGCTCTCAGGGGCCACCCAGGCAATGGGCACAACCCTACTGACAGATGCAATGGACCTGGAGCTCTTTCCCTTTCTTAACCTTACTGAGAGAACAAAAGACTCACCCCCCTCCCCAGTCTTCTTCCTCTAATTCCACCCTTCCTGTTTACCACAGCCTTTGGACTCCTTAGTGTCTGAAAAATTGCTACTACATTACTTTCAAGGGAGGGATACAAGTATGTCCTCTTCACCCAAATTTATTTACTGTGGTAAAAATTACTGAACCAATTTTTAGAAAATATTATCTTTTGCTCTTGTTAGAATAGCCTAGTCAACTGGGTCTGGTGGTGCACACCTGTACTCCCAGCCCTTGGGAGGCTGAGGCAGGAGGATCACCGTGAGTTTGAGGACAGCCTGGGCTACATAGTGAGTGCAAGGCCAGCCTGAACTACACAATGATCCTATCTCAAAGAAAAAAAAAAAAAAAGAATAGCCTAGTTACAAAGTAGCTTAGTAATTTATAAATGAGGTAGTTAAAATATTTGTTCTAAATTTGGCCTGGCTAAATTTGTGAGTGAGCTGTTTGATTATCAGTGCAAAAAGATTTGGGACTCGGCCATGTCTTTGCAGTGAATCCTCCTCTTCCACTCATGTGTGAGTCTGGGTGCCGGCTTGTGAAATGAGCACTCCCAAACGTGGGAGCTGAAGCAGAAGGACATGAGGAAAATAAAATGAAAAATCTGGGATGCTGTAAACTGAGAACCCTGTTTTCATAATAACTTTAGGCATGACTTTCAAGTGCTAATTCCTAAGCCAATCACACCAGCATTCATCGGGTCCTCCATGGGCCCCAGCGAGGAGGTCTACAAGGTGGTCTACAGGAGCTATTTTGAGTTCTGATGCTCTCCAGAGCAATGTGAGGAGCTAGCTTTTCCTTGACTTGGGTTCTTGCTGGCAGTGTTGCCTAGAAGCCAGCATGGAAAAGCACAGCCCAGTATAGTAGAGGCTGAGCTCACGGCTGCTCTGCCCCTGGGCCAGACAGTTGGTGCCTTCTTTTTAAACACATAGGCCTTTTTGGGTTTCTCGGTGCAAAATGTAAGAAATAATATTCACCTCTGTCCGGCTGCAGAAGGCAGGCACAGACATATAGTTTTACATATTTATAAAGTCTGCAAAGCCACAAAAGCAAAAGGCCACAACAATACACTAGGATTAGACTTTACTCTTCTGCATCTCTAATGAGAGGATACAGAATACACAAATTATGTACATTTCAGAAACAATAAGTTCTAAAAATTTTCAAACCAGTCATAACTCAGGAACCCTAAGAGACAATTGCCTCCATTTAAATCACTGCTGTAACACTCCCGATAAAATTATAAATATGAATTATGCTCATGTGTTGAAATTTTAGATGCGAAATTATTCTCCAACAACTCTGAGCTACTGCAACCTCTTTTTTCTCTGCACACAAATATCCAAGGGAGAGAATGACACCACAAGGCTGCTACAAGCAGAATAAGTGCTGTGATAGAAAAAGAAAATGTCACAGGCACATGAGCTCCTGCTAGTCCAGTAACTGGCTCTCTGAAGCACAAGACACAG